TAAAGACCTCTTGTTAAGTATTGTCATTTTCTTCCTATCTCTGAAAAAGTAAAATTTTTTTGTTGAAACCAATAGTGATAGTGAACAAAGAATTTCTCAAGACGACATGACTTTCCTAGTGGTAAAATAGTGAGTTCGTTCGCTCGGGCTGTAATCTAGATATTGAAGTTTTTTTTGATAAAGTGACTTTTTATCCACCCTGTATGTATATTTGATTTTGAACGAATTTATTTCGAATAAATATAATTATATTTATTTTTTATTCATTGAACAAATGAAAAAAGATTTTTTAAAATGTTTTCTTTTCGTGTATTTTAAAGAAGATCTTTATATTCTGAGTTATTTAATACATAATAAATTTTATTTGAATGGTTAAACAATATAAATATCGATGTTCGAATCTAACAAATAGAAATTTTAATTGTATGTGAGTGTGTGTCATTTGATGAGACAGCATTGGGCACTGATGATAATGACGAATACATTTGAAATCACCAACCTACCTTCTGATGACACAAATTTAAAAAGAAAAAAGAAATTTTTTTTTTCTTTGTTTTTCATTTTAGTTAAAAAGATGTGAAAAAGATACTGATGCAATATATGCCCTTAGTCCAAATTGGTATCGAGATTGGGAAAATTTTGTTTGTGAAAAATCATCTGGTAAATATTTGTTAATAATATTTATTTTAAAAAAATTTCTAGTTAAATAATTAAATAGAACCTCCAGGTCCAATATCAAATGCAGCTATTTCAACAACAAAAAATGGTGTTACTCGTTTAATTAGACGTGGTTAACTTTTTTCTTTTATTATTTTTTTTTAAATTTGTTTATTAATTGAATTTTTTTTGTTTTTTGTTAAGATTGTAATTATTTTCAAGTTAACGAATCTATATGGAATTTCTTATATTCAATATATGGTGGTGGACCTGAATTAATTATTCGATCGAATTCTACAATGAATTCAAATCTAGATGATCAAATATCTTCGAGTAATAAACCTGCAGTGACTTTCGTCTAGAAAAAAGAAAAAAAAAATTCTTTTCTTCCTTTCTTTTTGTCTAATGTCCGATAAATGTTTGTGTTTATTTATTTTGTTCGTTTTTTTGTTTCTTACTTGCAATGAAACAGTTTTTAATGCACTCAAAAAAAAACAAGAAGAAGAAAAAGAAGAAAAAGAAGAAAAATAACTTGAAAAGAATTGCACAAATATGTCAATCTCACTATTCAAACAAATACTTATTCACTTTTTTCTTTTTTAAATTTTTATTCTTTATTTCCTTTCAGTTTTTGCAGATTTAATTTCTTTTTTTGTCTATAATTTAAATAAATCTCTTTACATATTTCAAATTTTAACAAAAAGTAAGTTGAGATTTATTTTACAATAAATTATATAAAAAAAAATTAGTTTAAAATTTTTTTAATTAAAATGAATCGATAAATAAATTAAATTTGATCATTATTATTATCAACGATAACCAAAACAATTAGAATATAATTAAATTGTTCGTTAAATTCATCTAGATTTTAACAAGAAAACAAAAATAGTCTACTCAAAGTTTAAATAGAAATTTTTACAATTCACTTTCACAATATATCCTGTTAGACAGAATTACAGGTGCTCAACGATATTAATTTAAAAAAAGCTTTGAATATTTTAGAACATATCAGAACCTTTAATAAAATTTAACATGACTGGAATATGTTCACCATCAATATTCTTAATAATCCAGTTTGGAACTTTTTTAAGGAGATAAATAAATATATTTAAAATATAAACGATAATCTTTTTATTTGACACAAGTTTCATATGACAAAGAAAAAATCATTATTGAATGAAGTTCTAAATTTGACGAATAATTAATTTTAGTCTTGCTAACTATATTAGGATAGATATTATATTATTAAGATATTTTCTATATATAATATATTGAGTTGGCAAGAAAGTTTGTGCGTTTTTTTCGAAAATTTTCTTTTTATTTTTTAACTTCAAGAATACAACTAGCTTTCAACAATATATTCTTCGTTACTATCTATGACTTGTCGCCAACACTCTGGTAGAGAAAAGGTCCCGCGTTCGTAGAAGTCCTGGAACTTTTGGCCAAAGAAGTCGACGAGGTCCATTTTGAGATCGTTCTCGTCGTCGAATTTTTTCTTGCGTAAGTGGTTAGACAAAGAACGGTACAAGTGGCAGTCCGTAGGAGCCAAGTCTGGAGAATAAGATGAATGTGGAACCGTAACCCATCCGAGCTTCAATAATTTTTCACGCGCCGACTTTGCAAAATGAGGTCTGGCGTTGGCATGCGAAAAATAAATTCTATCCTGCTTCTCCTGAAGTTTTGCTGCAACTCGGTCCAATTGTCGGCAGTAAAGATCAGCAGTGATGATGCAGCCAGTTGGAACAAGTTCCCAATGAAAAATCCCCTTTACTCCCCACCAAATGCTCAGCATGATCTTCTTTGGGAGAAGGTCATTTTTGGGCGTTGCTACACCTGTTTGTCCTGCTCCCAGCCACTGTCGCTTGTGCGTGTGGTTAACATACAACACCCACTTTTCATCGCCAGTAATAAGATTGTGGAGCCATTGGTAGTTGCGATGAGATGTCATTAATTCCATACAAGCGTCAACCCTGTGTTGAAGCTGATGCGGTGACAATTCATGTGGTATTCAAACTCCGTATTTCCACGTTTTGCCTAATTCGCCCAGATGTGTTTCCATTGTAGTATGAGAGCACCCAAATCGCTCTGGTAAACACCGTGTAGTCCATCTAGGATCTTCTTCGATAAGCTGCTTTAAAACATCTATATCCACCTCTAGTGGTCTTTCGGAACGACGTACATCGTCGAGTTTGAAGTTACCGTTCTTGAACCGATTGAACCAATGTTGCGCTGTATGGACGGAGAGTGCATTCTTGCCCATCGTACTGCATATGTTGCTTGCTGCTTCTGTTGCTTTGTGACCCAGATGGAATTTATGAAGCAGAAGCACTCGGGGCTCTTTACGACATATGTTCATTTCGAATTCGAAATCAACGTCCATATCCATAGTTTGTTTTTGTAGTTCGAAAGATATTCGTCCCATCTTTATATACCCTTAGTGTGGAAACTTCTAGAACTTTCTCTACTGTTCTAAAAAATTTTCGAAAAAAAATGCAAAAACTTTCTTGCCAACCGAATAGTTCAATGTTTACAAAATGTTTTGTTTTTCTATAAATTCTAATAGAATTCTATTAATGAAGATAATTCATATTCAAAATTCCTATCTAATTATAATATATAATTCGATTAGTATTTTTTATTCTTCAACGATGAATGTTTATGATTTTATTAATCTTATAACTTACATATTCGATGATATGTATTAAAATATTAGCCAAATTCTCTTGATAATTAATCTGTTCATCAATAAAATCTGTTTAAATGTTTAGTTTTTCAAGTATGAACAAGATAAAAGATGAATTTTATCTAAAAATAATTGTAAACAAATAGTCTAACGTATAAATGTCATTGCGCATATGTTAAATTGTTGTTGATAATAGTTATTAATGATTATCAATGTTAAATATAGAAATAAGTCTCATTATCAATTATCTCTAACAATAATAGATCATTGAACACGCTATATTTAATTCTTGTTTTTTAATACATATATGTGTGTGTGTGTTTTATCCATTCAGTCGGATTCGACTCTTGGTGATCCAATGAACGAAGCTTCTCCACTTGTTTCTGTTGTGTGCCACATTGTTTAATTGTCTTAATGTTAGATTTGTGTCTTCTTTTATTGTGTCGATCCACCTTTTCTTTTGTCTTCCTCTGCGGCGTTTACCGCCGATTATGCCAAGTATTGTTTCTTTTACCATTGATTCGTGTAGTCGAATTATGCGTCCGAAGTATGATAACTTTAATTTGACCATTGAAGCTTTCAGAGAGCAATCTGGTTTTATTTCTTGTAAGATAGATTGGTTCGTTCTTTTGTCCATCCATGGAACTCGTAGTAACCTTCTCCAGCACCATAGTTCGAAGGCGTCGATTTTCTTCCGATCTGCTTGCTTCATTGTCCAGCTTTCACACCCATACGTTGTTATTGGAAAAACCATCGTTTTAATTATTCTAATCTTTGTAGTCAGGTTGATGTCTTTACTTCTGATGAGCTTGTGTAGGTTGACCATTGCCTTTCTGCCCATAAGAAGTCTTCTTTTTATTTCGTTGCTGGAATTCCCATCGATGTGCACATTGGAGCCAAGGAACATGAATTCTTTGACGATTTCCACTTGGTCGTTGTCGATGTGGAATTTTTGAATGAGCCCATTTGTCATCACGAACGTCTTTTTCATGTTTAATTTTAGTCCTGCAGCTGCACTTTCCTCCTTTATCTTCCGTATAAGGCTTTTCAGATCATCAGCTGTTTCGGCCAGTAGTGTGGTGTCGTCTGAGTATGATAGATTGTGGATGTTCCGTCCACCGATCTTTATTCCAGCTACTGCTTCGCCTATGCCAGCCTTTCTCATTATATATCCCGCATATAAATTGAATAAGTATGGCGATAGGATGCAGCCTTGCCGTACCCCTTTTCCAATGTTAAACCAATTGGTTTTTCCATATTCTGTTTTCACCGATGCTTGTTGATTGGTATACAGGTTCTTCATAAGGACAATTGAATGTGTTGGCACCCCCATTTCTTTGAGTACATTCCAGAGTTTTTCGTGATCCACGCAGTCTAAAGCTTTGCTGTAGTCGATGAGGCATAAGTAGAACTCTTTTTGATATTCTCGGGCTTTTTCCATTATCCGTTGTAGATTGGCAAATATGGAAAACACAGCGATGGTCCCTGAACTGGAAAAAATCTATATTCATTCCCAAATCGAAGAATGGGAAT